GTGGGGCGGGGGGGGGAGCCATAGCCGCTGCCTTGTCTTCCCCCTCCGTCCGCCCTCCCCTGCTCCCCCCCCCCGATCCGGACACAGTTGGTTTGTTCCGAGAAGCCGGCCGGTCTTCTCCCCTAAACCGCTGGATCTCTCACGTCTTCGGCCATTTCCGACCGAACCGGCGGAAGTTGCCGAAGTGGTGGCGGAACTTAACGGCCTTATCCGAAGGGTGGGCGGAGATAGCCGAACCGGCGACGGAGCTAGCCGAAGGGCTGAAGGGGCGGGGAGCAGAAACACGGGGGAGGAGACTCTTGGCTGCGGAACCTGCCGAGAATAGCCGAAGCGCCCCAGCTTTGCTCCGTCTCCAGCGTGGAGAGAAAGGGCCCCACTTGGCAAGGGCTCACACAGTTACCACCCACCCTCTCCCGGCTCTGAGGAGGGGAGTAGGGCAGCAAATCCAAGCGTAGCTCTGTCCCTTTAAATGGTGGAGGAGGCGGAGCAGCTGCTCCCTCCCCTCCGAGAGCCCGCCCACCTGCCGCTGCGCATGCGCACTGCTCAAAGCATGAGGCGCTTTTCCCGCCTAAAGGCGGGCACGTGCTCTGCTACCCTTCTCCTCCCTCCTCGCCGAGGAGCCGCCGTGAGGAGCCGCCGTCCCCTCGGTGCTCGACACTGCCTCGCACGGGCAGCCGTGTCCCAGCCCTTTAGCCACGGCAGCCCTGTCTTTCCCCAACTGTCCCCCAAAACCCCTGCGAGGCTGGGGGTGCACCCATCAAGCTCAGTCGTGCCTCGGCTGTGTGGGTCAAACCACTGCGGTGACTGAAGGTTGTCACTGATCCCCCAGAGAGACGTCCAGGTGACTCCTGGCAAAAGGGGTTATGAAAACAACTACACTGTGGGAAGCTGATCTAAAGATGCAAAGACACTGACTGCCGAGCCTGCTTACAGGTAGTAAAATACCACTACAGATTTGAATTTGTTACGAAATTACATCAAGATCCAACCTGGAGCGTTTGCATTA